GGAGGGTTAAACACACATGCGCAATAGCCGCAAGGTAGCATCCAAGGCAAGGCAAGTAGAAGGTAATCGCGTACATGAGCTTTATTCTCCGCCCTCGTCACGAGGTTGCCTCGACCCCTACAACGCTCCTATCAATGTTAGTCTGCAAGCCAAACCAGGCTACCTCCATACCAGCTATATATCCATGCGTCAAATGAAGAAGTAAAAGGTCTATAGGGTATTAGACCAGAACGAAACCATTTTCCTTCCCTCAAACTTTGCCGACACAATTAGCTCTATGCTCCCCATCCAACGCAGCGTCGCGACCGTTTCTTCAGTCACCACACCCCTTGGCACTCACAAGCCATACATGTCCCATCCATCGAGACCTTCATCGGAGCGCTTACTACCTACAGACTCGTGGGGAGCGCATTCGCTATCGTACGGCGTGCGCGTAGCCACATTTGCATCCAACTCAACGTCAAGTCACAACTCATCGTCATCCATCTCCGAAGGCTTCAACAGGCCACCGACCTTCATGGCTCGCTCACGCTCTTGTTCCTTCGCCGTCTTCGCAGCCTGCTCACGCTCCTCGAGGAACAACTCGGCGTTATCCCCAGAGAACTCCTTCAAGGAAATCAAGAAGTCGCGCAGAATGACCTTGAAGCGGTTGAGGTCGGAGTTGGTCGCGAAAAGTCCGTCAATGAACGATGCGATTTGGGCACTTTGAACAGTCAGTAGGCGTTCATACAAGCGAGAAGGGACAGCTTACGTCTGGAGGTTGGGGAAGGCAGTCGCTAACAGGTTGCCGACAAAGTTTCGCAGGAACTCTCGGTTCGGTGTGCCTGCTGGCGCCATGTCTGGTGACGTGTAGATGGGACCTTGCAGCTTGTCTGAGTCGACGAGCCAGAACATCTTGGCCAGCAGCATCGACTGCGACTTGAAACCAGCCTTGTGATCGCTGTCGGTAACCACGAAGAAGACGTCCTGGAGGATAGTCGTGAAGAATGTCTGGAAGAAGGTGTTGCAAGTTTGCTGGTCTGTTTCGGCCATGTTGGAAACCAGCTCGAAGCACATGGAAAGGCCGGCACTCTCAACCTCACGGTTGTCGTGCTTGCTTGCCCACATGCATGAGTCAATGACGAACTTGAACGATCGTGCATCGAGGCGCAGCAGAGCGGGGAAGCAGCGAAGGTTGATGGTGCGCAAAAGCTTGAAGAACTCGACACGGTGTTCTGGGTATTCCGAGAAGTCCTTGTTGATCATGTCCAGAGTGCATTCGAAGACGCTATCCATGATGTTGATGATCTGATCCTCCATCATGCTCTGTGAAGAAGGTTAGCATATAATTTAAGAGTGACTGAGCGAGTCCAACCATGTGCTTGCTCAGATTGGGTCTCCAACGTACATGTAGCTTGTTGATAATCGTCGTCATGACGTTCAACACTTCTGCCTCACGAGCATCGGGGACATTGTTCTTGTAGTCGATCAAAACAGCTTCTAGCAGCTTCGGTACAATGTTGTTGTGGATCATCTCCAAGTCATCGGCCTTCTCAACGTAAGTGTTGATGAGTTTTAGGATCTCCTTCTTGATTGTACGAAGACCGCGGACCTTGGGCATCTTTGTCGCAATATTACCCTCTCGTTGGACAGCTTCGTCGATAAGCTGTGAGCTCGCGCGGTACATTGTCAACATGTCGAAATATATCCGGCCGATCTGTGGGTAAAAGTAGGATCCAATTGAGCCGCATGCTGCGACGTTCGTCTTCATAATATTACCGACAATCTTGATGACTTCTGAGTCCTGGAGACACGCAGGGTTTTGATTAGCTTGAGCGATAATGTTGTCCCAGGCAGAGTTTGGCAAAGCCATCAAGTCGGCAATCAAACGCTCCTGCATGCTCTTCTGACCTTGCGCGCTGATCATGTAACCGCAGGCCTCGTAAAAAGTATGGACTTGTTGAGGCGAGAGATCAGCAGTAATTTTCCTCAGGTTACGAACGATCTCGTCAATGAATGGCTCGGTTTCCCCAGGCTGAAGAGCAACAAAGTGTCGTCGGCACTTGTTTGCAATCTTGATGAACGTATCGCAAGCCATGTCCTGCACACCCTCGTGGGTCTCGTGCATGAACTCGAATAGCTTGTTGACAACAGTCTTGAGGAACTTCCAGTGTGCCTTAAGGAATCGAGGATATTGACCGACAATGTACATAATGTTACTGGCCACGACAGCTTTGTTGTCCTTTCCTCGCTTCATTTCGGTCAATCCAAGCAAGTCCTTGATTACAGTAACCAGGAAGCGCTTCTCTGTCTCCTCGTTCATGGCGCCAGAGATGGAACCGATAGCCCAACAGAGCGTATTGCAGTTGGCCCATGACCACTCTGAACCATCGACCTGGCGAGCCAGCTTCTCCGACATGATTTGCTCGGTGTCGTTAACATCCAAGTGAGTAAGGAAGACGAGGCATTCTCGAGTGGACTTGTACAATTGAATTGTGTCGCTCTCCTTCACGAATTCACGGACGATCTCTCCTTCGTCGTTCTCGACGATGAGAACTTCCTCGGGCCTGACCATCTTCTCAATCATGACTGTTCGGAGGTTTGAAAGAATTTCAGTGTACTTGTTCTTTCGCAGAGGATAGTTGGCCAGCTCACGAGCTCCGTTGCCAGGGATACCCATGTTCAGAAGAGGGTTCATGTCGGTTATTGGGAGCGCCTGCATCTCGTCGTATAGCTCTGAGACGAGCTTGGTCCAGTATTCCAGGCAGATTTTGAACACTTCACGATCGTCGATTTGGCTTATGCGAATAAGGTAGAAGTGGCCATGCGTAAGGAAGTCCCTGTTCATAAGGTTCTCGATGACGTTCAGATGCATGGTGAAGAAGTTTGTCAGGAAGAGCGCGAGATTCAGGACGAACTCCTGGTCCCGGCCATTGCTAGAAGAATATGTACTCTTCAAGTCTAGTGAGAGGGGGATGATCTTGGAGATGGCAGTTAGTGTCTCGGTGAACATTTGGACGAGCTTGTCGTCGTATGCGGGTTCGGTGTGCAGGCCAGCGATCTCAGTCAAGCACTTGAGGGTAATGTTGCGGAAGTCAGGAACTTCGAGGAATCGACTCCGCAAAGTTTCAATAAGGCTCTGGCCACTCGGTGGTGTCTCGAAGATGTACCCCAGAGGGATCCAGTTCAGGAAGCGCAGCAAGGTTTCGAGAGTCGCCTTGATGAGAGCAGCCTCGGTGGCTGTGCGCAGAACCTCTGAGCAGAGCTGGTAGATGGCTGTGAACTCGTCGCACATGCTTTGCTTGAGTTCCTTTCGCTTGGCCGAAGTCATCTGCTCCTCTGAGTAGTCGAAGACCTCCTCGGACAGGAGTCGCAGGATGACCATGTTGTTCTCGCATATCCCCAAACTGCTATGGCACGACGATATGATCTCGTTAATGAAAGTTGGCCAGTTGTGGGGCCACTCCTGCTTCAGAACGGAGACGAGGACGAGGTTGAGCTTGTTTAGGAGGGTACGCTCGGTGCGGCGGCTTTCGTCGTTATTGGATAGCTGGATGATGAAGTTCACGATGAAGTTTCGGATACCTGACTCGGTCAGTAGCACTCAGACGACAATTGCGATGTGGCATACCTTGACACTGGTCGCGAGGCAGTACCTTCCACCTCGTCATGATAACATTGTCGAGAACCTGTAGTCCGAGATCTGCCGATAATTAGCACGATGACCACCAGCCTTATACCACGTCGGTAAGCTCACACTTGGTCTGCGGGTATTGCGCATCGGATAGGATCTTGTCGACTAGGAGCCATGCGTCGGGGTTCTCTTTGAACTACGCAAATGTTAGCGGGATGCGTGTGTAAACAGTGTCAGCGAAGATGCCTACCTGGTTCAGCGTAGCCTGGGCTTGCTTTTGCTGCAGAAGATGGAGTGTCAGCCACGTCCTCAACACATTCTCCATCCAGACTCGGCATGGAAACCTACTGTGTCGCCGCGACCTTCGTAGAAGGCGCGCACTGTGGCGTCGAGCTCTTCGATTGACAGAGACATGGCGGGCTGCAGCGCGGCGGGAAAAGCTCCCAATCAGCCTTGAAGTATATTCTATTTCCCCAAGAAGCTCAAGCGTCGGCTCAGCTTCTTAAGCAGTCGGCGTGTTGGCGCGTTGGGCGTGGGCGTGGGCGGAGGGCGAGCGCGCAAAGGTCCGTTGCCTTGCAGAAGTTGTGTACAGACAAAGGTGGGGCACTTGTGCGGCGGAGAGTGTGTGCGGGCACGCTCGTCAAACTCTTGCGGAGGTTGTTTGTATCTGGGGATCGCTAGGCCGTGATCAAGACTGTCTTTCTAGCTGCTCGCAGTGGTGGATGTTTCAAGAGGCACGGGTTTCGCGGTGAAGTCGCGTTTGTCAACTGGAACCAGTCTACCCGTGCCGAGAGACAAGCACTAGCGCTAACTGCTCCACCTTGGATCGACTGCTACCCTGCATCTTCCTTCATATCATCAACTCCGCTTAGAAGCCCAAGCATCTGCTTTGCTAGGTTTCCGATAGCTGACATGCCCATGCGCTGTTGGCGGGTGTACAAGAATGCTTCACCCTGCACACGTGTGCGCTACCATGACGAGGTCATCAGAAGAACAAAGCAGCTTAAGGCTTCCTCATTTATAACTGGTCATGGCCTGAAGAGAGATACAGAGGTGTTCTACATCCTGTTATATTCTCGACTTACCTATAACCTGCTACTCATGGTGCTATCGGGACAGGAAACGTCGTTGTAGGCGTTCTTAGAGGATTGTATAGTGTTAGGTATCCGGCCAGTATTGCGCACGTTTAGAACCAGCAGCAACAGATGTACCTTAATATGTGCGTTTGACCACAACATCTGGATTCAAAGGTTCTGCGCTGCGTAAATCATGCGGAAAAGACATAATGTAGGAGACATTGTTTTTGTATAACGACTTCGTTTGGTACCTAAGGTTGACTGACGATGGTCCATGAACACGCAACCTCTTTCCGTACCGTCAATAAATCTTATGCCTTGACTCTGCCATCCTTGACCATCTCCCGGATCGCGTCGATGCTGCTCTCAACTGCTTTCTTCGCCATCTATCATCTCATTAGTATCCAACTCAAAACCAGCGTTGTTCGCATCCGCCATTCCAGTAAGACAATGACAGTGAGCGGGAGTACTTACGCCCTTGAGTCGTTGCCTCTCCTTGTCCGCTTCTGGAGTCCCCTCTTGCAAATTTGGCATGATCCACTCGAAAGCATAAGTCATGTTCAAGTCCTCGGTCTCACCAGATGGACCATCGGAGATGATGTTGCGGACATGACTTCCGTCTTCTTGCTCGAAATCGACCTGTGTACATATAGTCAGCACATTTCCTACGTCGAATTGAGGAGTTGCAAATGTTTCATCGTGCTTTAGATATCGACCTTGGGAACGAGTTCCACTCACCCAACTCGGCCAGTAGCTTCTAACGACTTCCTTGGCCTGATCCTTGGGGCCCGTTCCCTTCTTGAATTTGACGTCCCTAGTTACCACTCCATCATTTTCTTCAAGTACCTCGCAGCTCTCAATCACAGGCACGAATTCTTGGGCAAAACGTATCTTGCGCTGCAGGCCAGTCCAGATTTGTGCTTCGTTGAGCACCGGTGTTGCACCGGCGGGGTTGATGCGGGAGGTGTATGCAATGTTGATGTTCACCATGTTTACGGGTATGCTTCAAGAAGCGGTTTGTTCGTGTTGTAGGATGGTTTGAGTGACAGATGCTGAGATGCAGAAGCTGCTGCCTGTTGTACTGCAGGCGTGGGGTAAAATGACAGTCTGATGTCAGTATTGTTTGATGAGAAGGGATGGCTTGATGGTGGTGCAATGTTTGTGTTCTAAATGCTGGAAATTACTCTATATACTCTCTCTTGCCTTGTATTATGTATGTAGTGGAGCGACTGGCGTGCCGAACAGATTCCAAGGCTTGAGTAAGCAACGACGTTCGGCTCCCCCCAAGGCCGAGCTATGAAGAGCCGCTTATGCAAGGTACTCTTGAGAAGAGTGCGAAGTGCCGAAGATTGTCTGCTAGTTTGCTGTGAAATCATTTGGCTAAATTGACATGTTCTGTAATGTTTTTACATAGTCGACAATTCCCACCAGGCTTAGTCAGTTCCGGTGAGACTTCGGGATTGTTGTTCACCGCGACCAATGCGTGTTGCGTGCATCACTGAATTTGACAACGAAAAAAGCTAGAACAGTCCAAGATTTTCAAGTCCATCAAACGTGGCGGGGCATGATCTGTCATTGAGGTATCATTTCACCAGCCTTTCGCTCTAGATATCCGTAGTAGCTACTCAGCACAACCCGCCGGAACGCCATGCTTTTGATATGCACATCACCCTTTCCCCTTATCCTTGCAAGTACTCTAAGCATCCTCAACGATCTGGGTGTGCAGACCCTTGGGGTCCTTGACGTTGACGGCCTGGACGTAGGAGTAGAGCTTCTCCTTGGCACCCTCCTCGTCGTTACGCTTACGGGAGATGCGGACACGGAGGCGGAAAGGAACGCCCTTGATACCGGACTCCCAGACCTTCTTGTTAAGCTGGGGGTCTAGACGGACATCGTTGGTGCCCTACAGTGAAAGAGTTAGCCTTGAGCTCATACGATCGATGACGCTATGGCAGCATTCGCATATAGCGCACTGGCCAAAGGGTCATTGAACCTTGGATACCACATACCATAGCCTGCTTAGCGAAAGCGCGGATCTCCTTGACAGCCCTGGGGGCCCTCTTCTTGAAGCTGACACCGTGAACCTATACCCGATGTATTAGCCTTATGTTCTCTTCAGTCTTCCGCCCGATGCCTGCATCGCCAAGAATAGATGCTCAAGCCAGTGTGATCGGCCTGGTCGAACATCCACCCAAGGTTCTGCGAGACCATCTGTGGACTTCACAAAACTGAATCAACATACGCGCTTGTGGAGGTGGATGGTGTATTCGCGGGCGACGACATCGGCGATGGCGCTGCGGCCGGTCTTTCCCGCAGACTTCTTGCCGGCGGACTTGGTGGTAGGGGCCATTTCTGAAGAGAGAATATATGTTAGCAAATGCCTATTACAGCACCAAACAACTGGAAGAAGGTATTGTGAGGGTCGCGCAAAGCAACTACATTCAAAACAAGACAGAGAGCACAATACATACTGACAGAGGTTCTCGCTGCGGGAGTTAGTCGAAGATGAGGATGCGAGTTTGAGGCTTGGAGTTCGAGAAATCGCGATGGTCGAAAATCCAATGCGCCTCGTGTGGCCGCTTGCTTAGCGCTGGGCACGGGCCACTACTCCACGTGAGGATGCTCCAAGCGCTTTCAACGTTCTATCATTAAGCAACAACATGAGCTTAGGCTGAATGGTGATGCGTTTGTATTTGGGTATCCATAATTTTCTACATAGGCTTTTCGTATGTTTCTAGGTCGCTATTCAAAACAATGCCCAAGCGGTATTCATAACACATCCTCCTTGGCCTTCCCAGAACGCCTCAGTAACACCTTACACATGCCCTGGCAAATCAAACTCCTTGCCGCGCTTTTTAACGTTGACTTCGACACATTCGTCTTCATCGTCTTCATCGTCTTCATCGTCTTCATCGTCTTCATCGTCTTCATCATTGTGGTGTTCGCTTTCATCACTGCTACTGTCGTCATCGTCTTCTTCATCTTCGTCTTCGTCGCCTGCAACGAAGCGATTCAGTCGTCCACCATCTTCGCCCCAAAATTGCAATCCTTCGGGATCACGATCTTCTGAGAGATCCAATGTTGGAATCTCTTCGAACAAAGCTGGGTTCAGGTCGTTCCTGAAGCGGACGAGAGACTGCGTGAAGCGTTCCAAAACGTATTGTGGTAGTGATGGTTCCTTAACCGTTGTGCCATCTGTAGCCGGACGCTCAGTACGGTCGTCGCTACCGAGATCGATGAATGGTACGTCTTCTGCTCGGACATCCCCCGTTGGATTAAGATAGGCATCGAATGATCGACGCACACGTTCAAGCATCTGCTGTGCAGCATCAGGCATTTGAGGCATCTGAGGCATTTGTGGAAATTGCGGTATCTGTGGAAAATTTGGCAGCGGTGGAAACTGCGGTAAAGATGGGAACTGTGGCATTTGAGGCATCTGTGGCATGCGTGGTCTGCCTGGAAACTGTGGCATCTGGAAAGGGAAAGAGGGCAGCTGACCTGGTAGCCATGTTTCTTCTGGCTCATCTGGTTGAAAGTAGTATCGAGGTGAACGTAGCGGTGCTTGGGAGGAGGGCGAACTAACGCTCGCGGGTGATCTCGAGCCTGAGTCAAGATCGGCATCCAGTATCGCGTTGGCAGCCTCTTCACTCTCTGGTCCATTCAAAATACGAAGTTCGTTCGTATTATATGAATCGCATGTACCGCATTGGTTCCCGAGCCAGTGGTATTTGACGGAAGACTTGGCTGAGCAATCATTGCACTGAACGACTGCTCGGGTATTTGCGAATTGTTCTGGCATCGGCTGACCCTCGATTGCTTGAGTCAACTTCTGCCACTGCAGTTCCATACACACAGCGCTCTTCTTGCAAATTGGGCACTTGTACGCAGTCTGCATGTAAAGATTGTAGCATCCTTTGTGCAAGTAATGCCCGCAAGGCATGGAGACTACAGCGGTGGACGAAGTGAAGAGATGATCGCCGCAAATCGGACAATCGCCCTCAGTAGCCCGCGGGAGGCATTTGTGCGAGGTTGCATGAGAGATGGATATGCAAACATTGCAGCTCTGCGCACGGTTAGTGCTGGCTAGATCATGCGAGACTATGTCCATACCTTGCAGTGATAGAAATCTTTACCCAGGCCTTCTCCTCGTCGGCAGATGCCACAGTCTGGGCAATGGTAGATCTTTTTCTTGCTATTGTTGTCCCAGAGCTTGCAAATGTCACAGTAGTAACATGCGGCCTCAGTCTCACAGTTCTTGCAGACGTCGGCTGCTGGCTGAGGGGTGCCGCACGCCATGCACAGCATGTTCTGTGTCATCTTCCTGTTCAGGTTGTGGTCTTCAGCGGCATCGTGGCAGTGCCGGCACGTGTACCAGCGGCGACACTCAAAGCATTGTACTTTGACATTGCGCTTGTAGTGCTGGCAACCAAGAACGACTTCTCCTTCGGCAGTGTCGTCATCGTCGTCTTCGCCGTGCTCTGCACCGGCGTGGTCGTGATGCGGTCGATACGTCGGGTTCGCGTCGCCCTCTCGAAGATTGTACGAGATGTCGGGGGTGACGTCGGTTGTAGACGAAGACGAGTACGGCGACGAGGCATGGATGTCGGAGAAGAGGGACTGTCCGGAGGTCGGGGTAAAAGGGCGGTCGTGTGATACGAAGCTCGCTGGCGACGTGGGTCGCATGTGGTTGTACTTTTCCGTCATCAGGTTGTGTATCATGCGGGCACGCTCCTGATCGGATATGCTCAGGGCCCTGATTTCATGGATGCGCATGCGGAGATGGGCCATGCCATCATCTGCGGGGAGCAACTCTGACATGGCGCTCACATTCTGGCTACGAGTGCTGGCCGGGTGTTGGAGCGACGTGGGCGACGGCGCAGTCGAGCGTGACGAGTCTACATCGAGGTGACGGAGCTGATCTGCGAGGGTGCGGGATGGATTCGCGGACATTTCGACTGGGGTGTCTACTGGCAGATCGTCATGGCTCTGCTCCTCGTCAACAACAGCAGCAGCACTGCGAGGCCGCTGCGAGAAGGACGAGTAACGTCGGACTCGATCCATCAGGGCGGTGGGCCGGGCTCCAGTTGCATCGGTAATGTTTCTATCATGTGCGCTCGCCGGGTCCGCATCCGTTTCGTGAGCCGGCCGTGGGACAGGTGCAGATGCAGAGTCGTGATTATCACATGCTAGAGACCGGGCTCCGTCATGATTCCCTTCGCCAACACCTGAGAACCGCCGTGCATGGCGCACAACGGGGTCAATGATAAACGACGAGAAGAGACTCATTGGGTCATCGTGTACACTCTAGGGACAAGTGGGAGGGGGGATGCTTCGTTTCAGCTCGCCCAGAGCCTCTCCTCCGGCGCTGCTCGCACTGTGCTCTTCTTGACCACGTTTCTGTGGCTCAGTTGCTCACATGCTCCCAAAACGCCACAGTCGCCACGAGGGAATCTTGGAAATCCTGCTGCCTTTCTTTCCTCGGGCGTCCCTCACTCCGGTCCGAATACGTTCTTTGTCTCTTTCGTCTTGTCTTGCCATCCTCAACACGATCCATCCCGCACCCGCAAGCATTTCCGGAACGGGCACACGACACACGGCCAGCTTGGTCGCTTTCGCAACCAGTGCATCGCAATGTGGAAACACCTCATCGGCAGACCCACGCCGTCTGCCTTTGCCGTCCCCGATGCATGGTACTGGTCCCCTCTAGGCCCGATACCTACACGCTATCGTCAGTCCACCCGGAAAGCACATGTGCAACGGTACCTGTCTCGATACAGGCAAAACAGCTGTCACGCCATGCGCAAACCGTAGCGGTTTGACCTCATGCACAATTTCATTTAATGTTTGCTTTGTTTTGATTTGTGCGAGGTAACCGCAACGGTACGGCATTCCGCCGGTGTTTCTGCTCTCTACGCCGCGGGCTCTCCTTACCTTGGGCTTCGCAAGCGTTGGCGTCTGTTTAGGCCACCAACTCACCAAAGTTGCAGTGT